CGTCGCGAAAAAGTGAAGAAGAACTCTCGAGCTTTCACACCCCAAGCATAAAAGTTTATTATTGTTGCACAGCAGCTGTTGTGATAGACAATTTCAACAACAATTTCAGGATAATATGAAAGAAAGACTTATTAGTAGTTTTGAGATTGCAGGTCAAGAAGACAAAAGACAGAGAGTAAAGTAAAAGGACCAAAAGAGTACAGGCGCTGAAAAGCATTATAAAAGCAACGGACGCAAGAAAGTGTGTTACACATCGACTTCATTGACTGTTAATCAAGTTTTGTTTTTCTGCTGTGTATAGCCTTTTAACCTTTCAATATTGTTTTTTTTCTTTTACATTCTTGCTAAATGCTGGTATTTTTCACATATTTATTATATATCAATTCACTTTCAAGGTAACAAATAATGTATGCTCAAGAACGCTTGTTGCAAGTCGCACGTGACAGATTCATGCGACTGACTGAAGCTAGTCATTACAACCAGAACAAAAAAGAACTATGAAAAACCAACATTAAGAGCAGCACTAATTTCTTCCTATACAGAGCACGATATGTTTGAAAGCCAAAAAAACACACTGAATCAAGAGATTTTTCAGGGACGGTGTCAGATAGACCTTATTTCGCAGAAAATTCTCAAGCACTTATTAGACGTATCACAAAATGATTGAAACGCAGCGCAACTTGTTTGCAAAAACCATAGAAGCATACAATTCTGAGTTTGAAATTGAATGCCTGTTATTTAAATAAAAGGTCTCTTAGTGCAAGCTGATACTTCTATTGCAATACACGTTGTTAAATGCATACGACCTTTAGTCAAAGCTGCTTTGCTGCAGGTAGTTAAAAGGTTGTTCGTCCATCACTTGAAAAGACACGCAAGAAATAGCGATTAGGTTGAAAGGAAAGCGGTCTACCGTTGGTCGAATAGCTTCATTACTTTGTGCTGCGTTGACAACATTCAGTCAATCACTGCGCTCCAAAACTTGATCTCTGTTCATAAATTATATATTAAAAACCGTAAATAAAAATCACTGGATGGAGTCGCATCTAGGAAAGCCGTCTTTAAGTTTCAAATGTTGGTACGTTTCAAACGCACTCAAAATTGTTTTCAGGAAAAACCAGGCAAACTGTACAGCAGTCTTTGCTAAACACAATCACAAACTATCTCCTTCAACAACGAAGAAGAATGGAAGCGTTAAGAAATGAAAACTCGACATTATTAACTTTCAGCTAATAACGACAAAAGAAGCAACTTCCTTCAAGAACATTCAAGATATTGAAAAAATCTTTTCTCAGAAATTTCCACTTTACGAGGTTGCCTCGGGTAAAGAAACACGTAGAAGGACCGTCTGTACTTTGTCAGAGATATCGGTAATTGGAGAGTTCTCTTATAAAACAGCCCAGTTACTTCCGCCAGAAACCCATTCGTTGTACTTCATAGTTTGCAAACGAGCAAGACATCTGTGTCGCGTCGGACATACTTTATCTTCATTCCAGAGCGCGTCAAAGCAGCTCGTTAACTCTTTCATTGCCTTAAAAAAATTTCGTTCCGCAATGTTAAAAATTTACATCTAGTTTCTATTGTAAAATTTACTTGGAAACCACTTGACAATCTGCTGCGTCTAAAGTTTCAATATTTTTTGGAGGGCCGTAATCAAACTATAGTACCTCGATGCCATTATTTTTCCATTGCTGCGTTTTTAAAGTCAACCCTGCAATCGAAGTTGAATTTCTCAATCTTTCCATTTCTTTGTTCAGGACTTCCTTATATCTTCGGCTCCATGCCGGAACATACCTCGCAACAACTGTAGTCGGGACGTGCAGATCGGTCATATCGTACATCAGACGTTCCAGCCTGTCAGAGAGTTGAATATTATGTTAGGTTGTTATATAAGAAAACCTACACAAGTTACAAATCTGTGTCCATATACCTTAGATGTAAAATCTTGCCTACTTTCGGGTCAACAACATGTTTCGTAAATGGCTTTTCCATACTTAAAGATTCGTGCACTATTTCAGACTTTATTCTTTCTGGGATAACTACCACCTGAATTTTACGCTTGTCTGTTACAAATGAAGAGATAAAGAAGAAGAAAAGATTCTTCTGAAGTAACTGTCTGTAAAGGTGTTGTTATTCACTTCTTATGACAGAGTGTACTTTGGTAGCGGAATCTACCATACCTTGCTCATTGATCCGTGCGGGAAGACTTGATTTTCTACCTGAATTTCGTAATGATCGTCAAACTGAATTTGTGATGGGTTAGTTGCATTCGAATAGGTATGCTGAAGAAAGGGTGCTAAAGTGGAACTAAACTAGGGCAGTAGTAAAAAGAGATTAAACACTTGATTAAACACTTGATTGGTAACCTGCATAAAAGCTGTAGCACTCAAAAACGAAAAAGATCCCGCATTTGGTTCTTTTTCCAACAAGCTGTCAAGGAATGAGAGGAATGACTGATTATTGTACAATACAAAAACCTCGTCAAAGTCGGCTAAGGCAAGATATTCTGTCTTTCCTCTTGAACGAAGAATGCAGTCATTCCAGGCCAACACTTGCTAATAAAGGTTTATTGGTGTTTACCTTTTTGTTTGAATTATTAGTGTCAGTTTTCTGAATGCTCTGAATATTTAGCTTGAAGACAGTGATTTACCTCAGCTCGATATACTTGCTTGTTTGGGTCTTCTTCTTCCGGAGTGTTTTCAGGTAATGGAATTATGCCCCACGGTACCCTTTCAATCTCGATGGTCTTATCGTGTTCGTACATTCTGATGAGTGCATCTACTTCTTTTGAAAAGGTCTGTTGATAGAAAATAAATTTTGTCGCTCCATGGTTAATCCACATCTGTTTTTGACTTTGCTTATTAAAGAAGTGTTGTATTGCAGCAGTAGTATAAAAGGATCTGTGATTTCTTAAATTGAACTACTTGCAGCGTATTTTGGAAGAAAGCTTGACGTAGGATTTTCTCGAGTGAGTATTGTTTAAGAGTCTATGATGACGTGGCACGAACCTCAAAAAACCTTGGTAAAACGGTCCATGTAGCATAATGCTCAATCGGAGGCGCACAAACGGTTAATCTGCGTTGAGGTGTCTGCAGTCTAGAATCGGTTAAGTCCAACGATACCTTGCGCTCAGGTTGGTCAGGATAGAAGATATGCAGTTTTTCTTTTCGCTTCATAAGCAGTGCAATCTGAGAGTAGTTGAGATTGTTTGCGGTTCCGTATTGTCCGTTATATAAACACCTGTAATTTTTTGGATGCAATATTTGTAAGGTGGTTCAATTTGTTTCTAGACTATTAGTGTTTCTTCTACGCTATTTTTGTTTCTTCCTTAAAATGAGCAACAACTTTTATTATTCAATTTGAATTTAGAAGTTACTGTGTTCAATCATCATTTTTGAGCGGAGTAGTAGTATTACGTTATTGTATCGGCACTTATTCTTTCGATAAAGGACTTTCCCTCTTAAATAAAATTTATTTTTTTGAAGTTGGATACAAAAAGAATTTGGATATGTCGGAAAAGCATTTCTTATCGCGTAAGTGAAGCGCCATTGAATGTTAACATTTCAATTATTGTTAGTGTCAGAGTAATCTCTGACGTTGTGCGAAAGGAGCGCAAAGAATGCATTCAGATGTTGGTTCATCCTGATGTCCTTACTTTGTTTTTCCAAACTTTTTACGACTGATTACATTCGAATAAATACAAAAACGGCTTTTATATAAAATTAACTGAGATAGGATTTCTCATATCTTTTTTGGTAAACAAAAAGTATAGGGTAATTAATAGAAACGTAGTGTATATATAGTGTTATTATTCTGAAAATAATAATAAATAAGTTTTTCAGTGAAAAAAAGGATTAGTTTAAGAACCTATCGGTTTTGTACCTCGGCACGAAGGCAGTTGGACACTCTTCGAAAGGATGTAATATCATATCAACAGGTTTCGCACCTCCAAGTTGCATTTTAAGTTGCGGACGGTACTGGCACCTTGTCAAGACTGTTACTTTTATTTGGTTGTCCTTTACAAGGTAAGCATTGGCGAAGTATAACTAAACTTTTTTATTTTCACTTTTGCGCAAAATGTTCATCGTAAAGTTGTATTAATTTTATGGGAAATCTTAATTTTTTCAATACGCTCTATCTGTATTTTAATAAATTAACGAAAACTTAGATTAGTGGATTAATATTGTGATTTTTGTCGTCTCATGCGGTCAGTTGCAGAGCAAACAAAATGCTTCCCTAAAACCTTTTTAGTCATGTTTTTTCACTCTGCCATTCGACTTTTGCTCTTAGCGTTTTGAAATTCAGAATGGTGTCAAAACTCAGCACCTTTGTGAAAAAAACAGACTGATTCTTACTTTATATCTCCGTGTGGGATCAATTGAATAACGTGAAGCGAGTAATTGTTTTGGACTCATTGTTGCCTGGAAAAACGAGACGTACGGTATAAAATAGAAACAACCAGTGTTGGTGGATATCTAGAAGTAAACAACATGCTACTGTAACAGTAGCTTACAGGCAGCTTAACGCCATTCTCGATCTTTGCTGAACAATTCTGATTTTTAAAGTTTTCAAAGACATCTGTTTTTGACAACAGAGCACTAAGAACAGCAGTAAAAATGTGGTTCAGAAAAACAAAAAATTCAAAGGAGTTTCTTGACTTATTCACAATAGGTAATGTTACAGAGGTGAGGAAGATTTTTGGAAGCTACTACCGATTTTATTAAGCTAGCGACCAGTTGTGTTGCTTTGAGGGGTTGGTCATATAGAGCAGTGATTGCGCAGATAAGTAGTACTGTTAAGATGAGAACAATTAAAATTAAGGATTTCAATTTATATGAATATTTGATTCTGATGCGTAAGCGGTGACACATTGTGGCCTGCAAAAGATCGTATTAGAAGAGATTTTTATGGTTGATATCAAGAGACAACAAGTAGGTGTAAGCTTTCGAATCTCTCCTAGTGGAACACTTGAGACTAATGTTAATGTACTGCAGAGGCTGCGAACACCAGAAGTAGAAAAAGCTTTTTCCGTTACGCGGATCTCGTTTATTTACAAAGAGCGAGAAAAAGTACAATAAAAGACAACAAAAACAAGAATAGAAGAAACGAAATGGAAGCTGAAATGGAATAAAGCATAACCAGAGCCTAGCTAGGAATATTGCGCAGAAGTGAGATACCAGTTAGCTTTAAACTGCTATAACAAATATTGGTGAACAGAGTGCTGTAGAACTTATGTAGAAAACCGTAGAAAAACGAGGAAAAATTGGCCATGCATGTTTAATCTTTTCGTTTCATCAAATGATGATATATCAGAAGGATGCATACAGTTGCAAAGTCGGTACGGTGAAGAAGTTAACAATGCTGATCAGTGAACGAGATATGAATAAATTCATTGGTAGAACAATAACATTAAGATTCTGGAAGGAACAACATTTTTATATTTGTAACCATTGCCAGTATAGTAAAAGTTTTTCTTAATGAGATCAGCTGGAAACTTGTTTGTTCGCGTAGCGTTAAGAAGTTCTATGGTATTAAAATTAGTTTTTGGTTACAATAAAATGTAGTGACCTATTTGAATATAAATCTGTTAAGGACATCTAAGCTCCCTAATATTTCATACCTTTTTTCTCTCGGGTTTTAGCACCTTTAATTGTTGGCAGTTTTGCCGGAACTTCTGTAGGTTAATTTTAGTTTATTACAGAACTTCTTGCAGAAGAGAGCAGAAAGGTTCTGTGCTGTTACGGTATATCTGACTTCTATGGTCCACGTAAGCAGCACAGTAAAGAATGAAAAGTAAACGGTATGATGAAAAAAGTAAACAGTTTCATTTGCATGAATGCATCTAAACAGCTAAAGTTTGAGATGCTGTATCGCAGAAGCTGAAGATTAGAGCTATAAATATCTTGGTCAGCAACGGTTCATCGTTCGCTGTGACTGAAATAATCTTTTCGATATGTTTGTTGTCTGCTGGTCAATAGTCGAAGCTTTTCTAAGGATTTTGTTGCATCCAGCTCATCATTTGGTCAACTTGTTTCTCTTAATAAACGTATGAATGGCACAAAAACCTTGATGTTCGAGGAAGACCACTCCAACTTTAAGTCTTCCCATTAGTTAACATTTTCAAGAACTTCTCTACAGTGTCACTACCCTGTAAGGCCTTACGTTTTACAGGATTTAAATTCGTTAAAATGCAGTGTATATAATCACGCAATCTTCATTCACCTCGTTCCACTTTTTTCTGGGGAAATATTCCCATGCTTTTTTTCATCGATGCTTGGGGTTTAGAAGCTGCTCACACTCCATTTTCTCATAGTCCATTAGGAATAAAAGCTTCATAAAGTTTTTTCGAGCGTATTAGCGGCAAATTAGTTGACAACTTTTTTCTTTCGCGAAAAGTTTATATGCTAAGTTACAGCCGTCTGAAAAAATTGTTTATGCCAAAAAGTTTCTAGAGTTTTGTTTCTAAAAACCAGTCTTCCAGAAAATGCATGTGTGTTTCTGGTATGTCACTTTCTTCAGTAAGGAGACCATCCTTAATTCGTTATATACCGTCATACTTACCATAACTTCCCAGAAATTTTTTCCCCCCTTTTAGCAACATTAGTTTTGAGAATTTTTTCCACAGATTACAACACTCGGATAACTACGCGTTTTTAAACTGGCCTAGTCCCAACTTTTGTTATTTCTTTTTTTGTTACAGCAGTATCTCTTTTCTCCCTATTCAGGTTTTTGTTCGTTGTGGGTCAGTACGGAACAGAGATCCACTGCTGATGAAAGGGCAATATGAAGATCAAGTACCTTTCAGCTCCAACGTAAAAGCGTTCTGAACTAGAGAAGGTAAGTGTTTTCGCTTGATATTCTCAAACTACAAAAGCTGCAGGATTTGGAAGGTGCTCTTCTACAGAACTGCACTGCG